GATTCAGTCCAGTTCAAGTGTATCTGAAGTGTAATAAACACCTGTACCTCTATATTTGCATACTGATAAAAACATGAAATATTCTCAGTGGAGCTAAACCAACATGTGAATTAATCAGGTACTTCACTGACAGGTTTATAATCTCCAAGTATTGCCAAAATTAATTACTTTTTTTTCCAGGTCATTCTTTCATTTCTTCATTTTGGTCATTTCTTTAATTGTTACTTAGAGCCTTACTTTGTCTGTAAAATATCTTTAAAATTATATTCTTTTTGATAATATTAAGATATTCTGCTTTCTAAATACCTGACATCGGATTGGAAACTACATTCAAAGATTAAAAGATCAACCTCCTGTGGCTCAATTTTGATTTTAGTGTTTATGTTTTGTAGTGTGAAGGTCACCTTTCTTCAGCTATGCTACACAGTCAAACTGCAAAAAACAAAAAAAAAATCCCTGCCGTTTAAATCACTGATGTCAGAGCCTGTTTGATCAATACTGTGCAGAAATGAAGCGACTATATTGACTCCCACATCTAGTTCAGTCCTAAAAAAAGGTGGTAGTGGGGTGGAGAGTGGGGGGTAAAAGTCTAATCCAATAGGTGCATTGACAAGGCAGCAATTAGCCTAAATAATCACCTGAAAATGAAATTGACTACAACTGCTGCCGGTAGGGAAAAACGGTCATTAACTGATCTGCAGCATTTGCGGGGCAAGAGAACACAGCATTCACCAACAATACATAAATAGATGTGGGGATTTAGGTCTCCCACTCTATCCTCTCTCCAATCTGCTGTCTGAAAAAAAAATCTATTTTCAAAGGGGGGAGGGAGCGGCACAGGTGACACAGGAAACAGTGGACAACACTGTGTGCACCTAAAACAAAAGAAAAATGAACTAGAATAAAATTAAGTTCTTAATGAAAAACTAGAAACTTCTGCAGATCGGTTTCTGTGCACATCTTCCAATAAATGATTCAGTTGAATCCTGCTGAGGCAATGCAATCAGTTTTTAAAAAAGCCCTATATATTCAACACCTTGTTGCTTTTACCTGCTTTGTTTGTAGGTTTCCAGCTTGTGACCTCTCGACTGAACCATCTTCCCAGCTGCGCTCGCCAGCCAAACACAGAAGAGCACAAACGCCGCATCCACCTGCATGGTTCACATTCCCCAGAGGACGGACCTCTCCTGTCAATCAGAATCCACTCCCCTCCTGGGTTCGGAGCACTCTGCCTTCCTGATACATTCCCTTCTCCAGCGCCTGAGCCGATAAGAAGGAGAAAAACAGCAAGAGAAGCAGCAGCGGCGACAGCAGCACACTGGGCTATTCTACGGCCTGAGTAGAAAACATCCTACGGTGCTTAATCTGCACAGTGGGAAAAGCAATTTTGACTAAACCCATAAATCCTTGAGCGTCAGATGGTACAGATTTGATCCCTCCAGCGGCGGATGTGCCTGCCTCTCTGTGCTCTGCTGCTCTCAGATACCCTGCACTCTGATGTGCTCTACTCCACTTTGCACCGCCCAGAAACACCAATTCTCACAGTGATGCAGTGTGCTCATTTGTAAGGTCAAGCTTCAGAGATACAGAGGCATAGAAGCTGAGAATGAAGAAGCTCTGAGGCTTACCAGCTCCTTCTGGTGCTGGAGTCTGATTTTGACACTTTTCCAAAAATGCATTTCTGCTTGATGCTTTTTGCAGGATTTTATGAGGTTTCATGACGGGTGAGTGATTATCTTCCATCCTGCTGTGGTGTGTGTGTGTGTGTGTGTGTGTATATATATATATATATATGTTATATATATTATATGTTTTGTATGTTATATATATAGTATGATATATGTGTGTATATAGTATATATATATATATATATGTATATATATATATATATATATATATATATATTATATTTATATATATATATATATATATATATATATATATATATTATATATAATGTATATATATATATATATATTGTATATGATATGTATATATGTATATATATTATGATATAAGTATATATGATATAGTATATATATAGTATATATATATATTAGTGTATATATATATATGTATGTATGTATGTGTATATATATACGTATGTATGTATGTATGTGTATATATATACGTATGTATGTGTATATATATACGTATGTATGTATATATATGTATATATATATTTATTTTCAAGAGACACAGATATGGGAATATTTTTGGATTTCCCCAAAAAATAATTACACAGGTAGATGTGTTGGCAGATCCAGCAGTAACAATGCCAACAGAGTTCCTCAACAAGGAAACTTTAAATCCACATCCTTCAGGTTATATATAATACTAAATATATTATATCAGTAAAGCTAATTATATTTTTATTATTTACCATGTTTACAATCAGTGATTTGGCCCTATGTATTGTCTTAATGATAATAAATATAAACACTACACGTATCTGGTAATGACAGCATACAACATTAAGTCTAAGCATCAATCGTCTTCAAAAAAAAATGAAGCCAGCTGAAAGTTCAGTGCTTGTGTTTATTCAGTTTAGCAACACACGTGCGGCTGCATCGCTATTTATCTGTCAAAACGTGCTGTCCGAGTGAGCCAGTCAAAAAAAGCCTCGCCGCTGACGTCACCATCCGCCCGGACATGTGTCCCCTTTTCTTTTTTTCCCCCCTTTTGGCACTCTGAACAGTTGGATTATAAGATCACGAATTTGGGTTAGCTCCATCTACGTCAATCTAAAAATTGGTGTAAGTAATGTTAAGCATGGTTTGTTTGAGATTTGCAGATTTGTATTTATTCATTTTTTTACAGTAGTAGTGCTGACCGAGCAAATGCATCAGCTACCTGCTGCAAAAACTGACACAGACAATCAACACCCAGGCATACAACACTAAAAACCAATAAAATCCATCCTTCTAGTTAAGCTTGAATCAAATTACAGCTTAAAAGCACAATCAGAATTTTGATTTCTTTTTAAATCGCTGTTATTATATTCTGCGAGGTTTTTAAAGAGTGAGTTCACACCAAATTTTGGAAAGATGAAAAAACATCGCTGCTCGTCAGCGGAGAAAATCCGATTATTGGGCTAACTGCTGTGACTCTTTGGTTCATATTTGTGTTTTAACAGAGCCATGTTAGAAGCTGAATAATAAAGTCTGCCAGCGCTGGAGAAATTATTCTTTAGTCCCGGAAGACACACTTAAGACTTTCTGTCAAAGTTTTTCTTATTGTTTCTTCAGTTTTAGCACAGCATGGCAATGCATTAAAGATGCATCTTTCAGTTCATTCTCAAAGCTCTGATTTTTCCATAAAATTCAATTACAAGGCTCAGTGGGATGGTTTCTGTGTATATCACTTGTACATCTTTACTACTTCTTTTCAGTTATTAGCCAACATGTATAGCAGTACAAATATATCTGTGATTACGGACCTGATAACCCAATAATAGGCATGACATAGTGATTAGTTAATGAGTGATGTCTAACCCTAACCCTATCTGCAAATATGATGACATTTATAAAAAGCTGCATATCTGCCGTATAGAATCATTTTTGCACTTGGAAACATGGTGCCATAAAGAGCTAAGGCCATTAAAATGTTTCTTATGTGTCAAAAAGATGTTTTTTTTAGCACAGGGGAAGGGGGAGTAAAAACAAAACACACAAACATACACACACACACACACAACCCTCTGCAGTTCAAATTCAGATCAAATCCAGGAGTGGGTGATGCAATCATCTACATGCTGCTGAAAGCTTACTCCCATCCAGATAGTAACTGCATTGTGAGGATTGCCAATTTTTGATTTCTCAGGTGCATTTAATATGATTTAAGCTGCAGCTAGTGATAGAGTAAATACATAAAACATAAGCAGACATGTCCATCATCTCATCGATTACTGATTACCTGACAGACAGGCTGCGGTATGTGAGACTGAGCAGTATAGGAGCTACACAGGGGCCTGCGGCGTCTCCATTGCTACTCACGTTCTGCACCTCAAACTTTTAGCACAACTCCAGGTCATGCCATCTACAGAAATACTCTGACAATTCAGCAGTGGTTGGAAATGTTAGTGATGGGCAGGAGGAGGAGTACAGAGCACTAAAAATAGTGATCTACGTCAGTATGAAGAGGACGGCTACACGACTCGTGTCTATCCTGGGACAGGATGTTGATGTTGTGGGGGAGTACAAGTACCCGGGCATCTACATTGACAACAACAACAAAAAAAGGGTAGGATGAGAAGGCTCTGTTTCCTAAGGAAGCTGAGATTCTTTGATGTGTGCAGCAAGATGATGGATCCTGAACCATACACACTGCCAGACAGGAGTGGCGCACATTCTCCAAACAACAATAAGAATGCATCATCATTTCAACTTCCGTAACAAAATCGTTTCCGAAAAGTATTTTCTCATTCATTCATTAAAGAAACTGTCTTGGAACTGCTATTGGCACATACAAATGTGTCTTCCGCATTCTCAATAAAGCAATCATTTATAATAATTTGTTTTTGTTGCATTAATATAGCATCCATGAGTGTCAGTCCCTGTTAAAACTGATATTGAAAGACTGGAATATGTTAATCTGTAGTATGACATCTATTTTGCGTCATGAGGGGCTGACATATTTTTAAACTGTTATTTATTTATTTATTGTGGAAATCGTCTTCGTTCCCATGGCACAAACAGAGTAATAACACCAAAAGCAAAACTATCAAACTAAAAATATCAGTGAAATATGGGTCAAATTGCTATTTTAAAGCCCCTTGTTGCACAGACTTTCACAATAAGTGATTTTCTTCCAAACTGGCACAGGGGATTACAGGGTATCTTACCTGTTCTACCCTTCTGCTCGACCCACATACAAGAGGTCGCCGTGCACCGGTCACACACAGCATTAAGCTCCTGTGCTGGCTGCAACATCTGTGCCTTAATGTAGCCAGAAGCTCTTAAAACACTCCCACGTGTTTACGCTGTGCCTATGAGTGCTGGGTTTGAGCCCTTTTTCTTTTTTCCCTGCGCTGCAGCTCCGTCACACTCTAGCCTTAGCCAATGAATAATCGCCGTTTCAATTTTTGCTCAATTTTGCCCTGAATTTAGTCTGTCAGACTGACAGCGTGCTCGTTTTCTCACACTTTATGCAAAATGTCAAGCCATGTGTCCTCTGTTAAAATCTTAAAGGTGATCTGGACTGCATTTCCCACCTGTTAACGCCTTCCTTTAGAGTACGATGGGCTGGATTTGTGCCTGAGAGGCAACGATGAGGGTTAAATCATGCTAATATTGTAGCTTAGTCATTGGTTGACGCAGTCCTGGCGCGGTATTGTAAAGTTTACTGAGAGCTCAAAGCTAAAACAGCTACTTGGATACTGAAGTCTTGAATATGTTTCTATGACATCAACCACGATCGGTTGCATAAAGGTTAGCTTAAACACTGCTACACAGTCACAGACGTGCTCCGGTGAAAATTAACTAAAGGTTTGTTTTGGTCGGTTTCGAGTTGAAGCTAAGCTAAAGGGAGGCGCGCTGGGTTGTCGTTTACTACCAGCTGGAAAAAAGTGCTAGCAGCACTGACAGCTGAATCGAGATGAGTGTTTCACGGGAAATTAAACGTAAGTACCGCTTTCAGTTTACGTTTTTTGGGCACGTTTAACGGCTATTGTTATGTGACTATTAAAATTAAGTAACTGTTACATCTCGATTGTTTGCAGAGCTGCAGAAAGCAAAGAGCAAAGCCCAGAGCAGCAACAACTTAAAGGAGGAAGCCAACATCTGTAATCAGCTAGGAGAGCTGCTGTCCAGGAGCGGTGTGTATAGTCTGCCCAATATCAGCACTGTGTTATTTTAGCACTGCGAGTACTGCAGTTATGGATCGTTTTTGATTCTCCGCTCTTCCTGTCACAGCGTCACCATGTCTTATAGATCACCAACACTCTCGAATAATCTTGATTTTTCTAATAATTTTTGTCCCTTTACTTTATAACTGTGCAGGTGATCCTAAAACAATCTTTCAAAAGTGGATAAAAGTGCCATTACTTGCATATTTACTCCCACCTGGAGCCACTTGAATTTCAGTATTTTCCAGTTTGACCATGGCTGCTTCTTAGTACACAGCTGTGTCACTGTAGAGTTTAATCACGGGATACATTTCAGAGGCTTTACATTCATATACTTTCTTATGCTTTTGTCTTCAAGTGAGTCAAATTTCATCTGGTGCCGATCAAGGTTATTAACTAAAAGCCAAAACTAGATGCGAAAAGCATTTAAATTAACTAAGATAAAACTAGAATGTAGAAAAAAGTTAATGATTTTTGTGAACTTGGAAAACTAAAACAATAAACGATAAATAGTGGACGCTTTGGCATTTATTTGGTAAAATTTTTTATCACAGCTTGCCTGATGAAGCTTTGAAGTACATGTTTATTAAGATTCTGGATGTCAACAACACAGTGAGCCAACTGCTTTTAAAAAGTTCTACTTTATGGATCCTGCCTCTGACATGTGCCCGCCATACAATAATAATTAAATCTAAAATTAGCCCTGAAACTAATAAAAACTAAACTGAAATGAGCAAACTGCAAGGTTATGTGCTGCACTACAATTCATCTGATGACTTTGATTAAAGTAAACAGTTTGAGCAAAGGATGCAATGATATTCAGTCTAGTAATTCATTTATTCTTTATATGCTTTTTCATACCAACAACATTTTGTTTGCAGTGTAATTTTTTCTTTTGCCTTCCTCATGCAAAGTGTAACATTTACCTTTCTGCTTCGTGTGTGTCTCAGGTGATTATCAGGCTGCCATTAGGGAGCACCAGCAGGAGTTGGCTCTCTCTGAAGTGTTAATTGATGTGATTGGACGAGCTGTGGCCAATCGTAAGATAGGAGAGTGCTTTGCAGAGTTGGGCAACATTGAGGCAGCTTTAAAAGTAAGTAAACTGACGCTTTATCAAAGTGATAAACTTCTAATTCAAGTGGTGTTTAGGACCTGCATAAGTGGATGTGTGTCTCTTCTTCAGCACCAGCGTCTTCACCTGGACCTGGCTCGATCTGTCAGAGATCATGCTGAAGAGCAAAGGGCGCTGGCCACTATCGGTCGGACCTATCTCTTCCGTTATGAAACGGACCAATCGAGGAAGAGCTTGGAGGAAGCAGAGGAGGCCTTCAGGAAGAGCTTGGGCATTGTGGATGACCGGCTGGAAGGTGTGTACTGTTTGTATCGTCCCAGTGGTTTTTAATGGGCGATTTCTTTGTTTCGTTATTCCTAATCCTCTACCTGGCTGCAGGGACTGTGCCACAGCGAGAGATCAATGAGATGAAGGCGCGTCTCTTCCTCAATCTGGGTCTGGTCTGTGATCATCTGGGCGAGCACAAACGCTGCAGCGAGTTCATCCGGCGAAGTGTATTTATTGCCGAGTAAGAACATCCTAAACTTTGCTCCACGTCTAAGCATGTCGATCTTTTTCATCGACAGCTTTTAATCGGCTTATTTTGTATAACTGTCAACTGAGATATCGCCGTTATTCCCCTGTAAAGGAAGAGCCAGCTGCTGGAGGATCTCTACCGTGCAAACTTTAACCTGGGCAACATCTACTTCCGTAACGGTCAACGCTCTAATTCGGTCCGCTGCTTAGAGCAGGCCAAAGAGTGCGCCCGGAAGATTAAAGACAAATTTAGTGAGAGCGAGTGCTTTCACTGCATCGGCAAGGTACGAGCTCCACCATATCCTCTTATTTTCTCCTGTTGCGATCAAGCAGGTTTTGAAGTGTGTGTTTAATTGTTAACATGCGATGCTAACAGGTGCAGCTGTCTCTGGGTGACTTTGTAGCAGCGCGACGATCTCTGAAGAAAGCGGTCTTGCTGGGTTCCCAGCAGCCGCTGGACAGACAGACTGTGAAGAAAGCTTTCAAATATGGTGAGTGAACGGTTAGATATGTTTTTTTTGGGTTTTTTTTACTTGCTTGTAGCTGCATGGATGGTACAGTGTATTTCTTTCCTATCACGTAGCTGACCGAGGCTGTAAATTAGAGGAAGAGCTGGGGGAAGATCAGGGCAAAAAACCCAGCTCCCATCAGGCTGTCGAGTTGGCAGAGCAGCTTGGGGATCTCTGCTGTAAAGTTGGCTGCTACAGCAAAGCTCTGGAAGCTTATCAAGCTCAGGTGAGAAGCATCAAAAGAGTCACATGGCTAATTCTCACATTTTTTTCACTTTTTTTTTTTTTTAATAGTTGCAACGTAGAGTCTAAATGTGACTTGTCTAAAGCGGTGTTGGTTTTGTTGTGTAGCTAAAGGGTGCTGAGGCGTTGGGAAAGCCTGCCAGGGAGCTGGCTGTCATCCACGTGTCCCTGGCTGCCACCTACGCAGACCTGAAACAACACAGCAAGTCGGTGGAGCACTACAGAAAGGAGCTGGCGTTACGACAGGGCAGCTCTACAGAGGTGATCTGCAAATTCACCCGTCTGCCCTGTGGTAGACATGAATGTGTGACTTATTACTTATATTTGTGCGCGTCAGGAGTGTAGCACGTGGCTAAACATCGCAGCAGCTCAGGAGGAGAGCGGCTGTGCTTTGGAGGATGTGGAGAGGAGCTACAATACAGCTTTACGCTGCGCTCAGGAGTCTGGACAGGCCAGACTGCAGGTGAGAGATAAATTAGTCAGCTGTGTTGAAAACTAAGCAGAAATTTAAGATGTCTTGTAAAGGCGCGGTGATGAATATCATGCACGACCAAAACGCACATTGACTTCCACAGAAGCGCGTGTTGAGGCTCTGGCTGGCGTCCCAGAGACGAAGCGGCTCATCGGATGCTGACAACACCGAGGCGAGGCTGCAGGAGCTGTGTGCTTCGGAGGGCTGGAATCCAGATGGGAGTGATGGTGAGGAGGAAGAGGAGGAGGAAATGGAGAACAGCGAACCGCTGGATGACAGTGATGTCATCCTCTCAGACTCAGGTAAAATGTGCGCGGGTAACTCTATCCGGAAAGCACTGACATCTCTATACAGAGGGATGCTTTGATTCACGTTACTTTTCATGTGGTTTGTAGACGATGATCTGGAGGGTTATGACAAGATGGTGTCAGGGAGGAGGAAAACAGGACGGGTGAGCGATGTGCGAGTTGTCCTTTCTTCTTTGTAGACTGCGGTTTAGATCTTCATTCTTGGCCTTTTTTGTGTCTGTCTTTCTGCTTTAGTGGAACAAGCGGAACGAGAAGGGAGAGACGTCTCTTCACAGAGCATGCATAGATGGGAATCTGAAGCAGGTCCAGTACCTGGTAGAACAGGTATAAAGAAGATGATTCATTATTTTAATCCAATAAGTTTTTAACTCTTGGAATCAGGAGGGAAAACGTAAAGTTGAGCACCATCAACATATAAACTGATTCACTCGTTGATGGTTGGTCACTATAATAAACAGTTCAGACTTGAGGCTTTCTGCTTAACTCAACAGAACAAGTGCAGCAACAAACTTCTTGGACTTGAACTTCTTGTCTGAGTTTTTAAAATATTTACCACCTTAAAAAAACAACAACCCTGCATCATGCAGTTTGATGAGAACATCGATTGGCTCAAATATAAATGATTTATTAGGAGTGTTCATGAAGATTGTATGGAGGAAAAAAAATGTACAGACAGAATCTGTAACGTCGAAGAGCCTGATGAAAGCTTTTGTTTATTTGCATATCAGGGTCACCCAGTGAACCCCAGGGACTACTGTGGCTGGACTCCCCTCCATGAAGCCTGCAACCATGGTCACTATGGTAAGTTCTGTCAGAGTCTCTGGAAAACTGCACCCGCTCCCTCGCTCATCTTTCTCTGCTCTTCGTGCAGATATCGTGGCTCTTCTCTTGGAGCACGGCGCTAACGTTAACGACCCCGGTGGCCCTTTATGCGAGGGTGTGACTCCTCTCCACGACGCCGTCGCATGTGGCAATTTAGAAGTCACAAGGCTCTTGGTGGAACGAGGGGCCTGTGTCACACTGCGCAACTCCAAGGTTTGTGTGTTTGGCTGTGTTCAACCTGAAAGTCCATTTCAGCAGGATTTTCTTTGCTGGCAGAAAGTGGCGGTAAAATATCTTCTTTATTTTAAAATAACAAACATGTCTTCCACACTTTAATGGATGACTTTCCTAACAGTGTTACAAACTTACAGGTCACACTGACCACATTGACAAGATTTACATACAGTTAGTGTGCACAGTCTTCATAGGTTCAAAAGTTATTGGACAAACATCATTTTAAATATAAAGACTGTTTTTAATACTTGGATGAGGAAAAATCTATTTAAAAAGTGGTTGTAATTGTAGGGTGATTAAAATCAGAGTAATGTGTTCGTTTTTCCTGGTTCTCGCTGCTGAGGCTGATTATAAAAATATTTTTAAAGTTATGAATCTCTCTGATAAAAGTTTTACTTTCTGTTACTGAGGAATGATTGAAAATTTGTGCACTCACCCTCTGGTTAGGAATGAAATCCTGGACCATGCTTTCGTTTGGCAATATTGAATTCACCCCCACCTCCTTTGGAGAAAGTCCAGTCTGCTGAACTTGCGTGCCTTAATCTCACATTTTTATCTCCACCAGGGTGAAACTGCTTTGGACACCTTGCGTCAGTGGCAGAGGACCTACAGCAGGGAGCTGGATCATGAGACCAGGCAGAAGTGTATTGCTACAGAGAGACTTCTGAGGAAGGCGCTAGCAGGAGGAGGTGAAGCTCTTGCATCATCGCACTGCGTTAGCCTCGGTCTGCCTTTTTATACCTGCTTTCAAACGCTCGTGTTTCTCACTTATCTCTGCCGACCACAGTGCCTGCAGCTCCGGCCCCGGCCAAGCCTTTTGATGCCCTGCAGGACAGCCAGCTGTTTGATGCGGAGAGTTCTGAGCCACTCTCGTCCACTGGAGGGGGCTCTTTCTCCCGCCAAGACTGGCCGCGAAGCAGGAGCTCGGAGGTGAAAGCGTCAGGCGCCAGCCGCAAACAGCGGCAGACCAATGGCTCAACACAGCGGAACAGAGCCAGGGGAACAGAAGCTGCTGTACTGTATGGGGTAATGTTTGATGATGCTTTCAGTGTGGACAGACAGAATACATCATGTCTTTTCACAAGTGTAGTAGATTCATCTATATTGTACAAGCAGAATTCTTCAGATCTTTGATGTGTAATATATATTTTTTTAGATTAATAGCAGCAGCTCAGATGACAGCGAGCCTGACACCCCGGTTAGTCCTCTCCGTCCTGTCCGTCCTAGACAAGGTTTCCCAGCAGCTCAGAGTCAGAAAGAACCTCCTGCGAACAAAGAAGCTGCCTCAGTTCCCACCTCAGGACAGGAAGGCATCAGGCAGGCCTCTACGCCGTCTGTGTTTGCCCGAGAAGAGTACCACAGTGCCATCAGAGGCTTGGGCAGCGCCAAAACACTTCTCCAGGGTCTCTCGCAGCCTCAGCTTTCCAGCACACCTGCCGTTTCTTCCAGCACCAAATCAGCTCTTGTTCCCGAGGACGAGTATCTGGCTGATGACTGGTTGGAAGACGATTTGGTGGAGATCCAGCCGAAGAAAAAGCGGAGGCTTTGGATGGAGCAGAATGGGCCAAGAGTAGAGGAAACTGCTTCGTCTTCTGCAGCTCGAAGTCAAAACAAGCATTTAAACTTGGACACAACCTGCAGAGGTAATTAGTCTGGATTTGTTTGGTTTTCCTTTTTCTTGGTTTTGCCAGTTTTGTAGCTTGTTGTGCCCTTTTTCTTTCAGGATCTGCAGTTTCCTCCCTCTCCAGTAGAGGCCTCTCTCAGAGAAAGAACAGCTTGGGGAAGCCTCACCAGGTCAAAATGACTCAGATACCAGGTGTGGCCAGACTGGGGAGAAGAGAAGTCAACCGGTCACACAGTCCCACCGTTACAGAAGATGATGATTCGAGATCAGACACACCGCCCCCACCTCTCCTTATCCATGCTCAGGTCAGAAGTGGAATGCTCTTTTGCTGTTTGTTAGTTACGGATGGAGTAACACTAAGGAAATACAGACAACACAGTGATTGTGAATAAGTCACTCCAAGTGTGAAAAGGTTATAGTCAGAGTGAGACTACACATGAATTATTCAGGAAATGCACACTCAGTGAGAGAATAACTATAATTCAGTGTCACTAGGGGATCTAAGTTAAAGATGATGTGTCTTCATTTCTGATTCATTTGAACAGTGATGAATGTGGACGTAAATGAGTGCGAGCTGATCAAAACTGGGGAGCTGTTTTTACATATTTCTGCAGCCTGGATGCCGTGGGCTTTGTCAGGAGTAAAAGATGACGTCGCTCATTTCGGATCTTATATATAGTTATACCTTGGTGTTTTGTAGCATCAGCTGACAAACTTTTACTTTCCTGATGTTTAGACTTTCTGATCCCTCCACAGACTCTGCTTTGTCTTTCTACTAAGAGTTGACGACATTAAATACAGATGTTTTAACAGTGCTTGAATGTTTTATTTTGTTTACTCTAGCCTCCAACTCAAACTTTGGTTGCTCCTATGCCCACGTCACTTCCTCCACCAATCAGAATGAGGGTCCGGGTTCAGGAAGACGTCTTCCTGATCCCAGGTCCACAAAGGTCGGTGAAAATTTAAGTTTGAGCAGTACATAAAAATAAATCCCAATCTGATTGGTATAGTGTTTTTTGTTGTTGTTGTTTTGTTTTTAATTTCTGTTTAATCACCTGTCATTGCTCTGCATCCCAGTGAGGCCAACTCCTGCTCTGTGTCGTGGCTGTGTGAGCAGGCAGCTCAGCGTTACTACCAGAAATGTGGCCTCCTGCCTCGTCTCTCTCTGCAGAAAGAAGGCGCTCTGCTCTCCCCGCAGGACCAGCTACTGGCCGTCCTGCACACAAATGAAGAGGTGAGGTGACACTGAGGAGAGCCAGAAGTGACCATACATGGACCACAGACAATTTAAAAGATGCTGAAGACTACCATGATTGGTTGATGAAGTCTGATCACGAGTGTTTAAGACAAATGTTGTCACCGTTGCTATCTTGGATTTAAAAAAAAACAAAAACCCACAGTGACAAGAGGACGGCTATGACTGTGAAACAGCTTGCATGTCAGCCAGTGAGCATACTCCTTTTCTTAGGCAAAGTATGGCCCAAATTCATAAAATAGACTTTCTCATAGACACAGAGGTCTTTTTTAAATCACTGATAGAAGGAATGGAGGTTCTAGGTCCTTCCACAATGACTTCATCTTTCTTACCCAGATGAGGCGTGCAGGTTTTAGACTGTATGATTCTGGTAAGAAGGTGAAGGGCTGATTATGTTAACAAGCTGCCTGAGAAACTACAATCTGAGAAACTGTAAAGATTAGAACCATTTCTATTACCAGACTGGATGCTGACTTGCTTTTGGAGCCAGCTTCCAGGAGACACTGAAGGAATCACAGTTTTTGGGATTGAATCCTTGGCTTCACTTTCCCGCACCAGTGCAGGATAACTGATGGGTTTGTGTTGCGGGTTCTGGCTGACGTTTGCTCGTGGGGATCTCCCTGCTCTCCCTGAGCGATACAAGAAGGCCTGTCAAAGTCTGGCAGTGGGTGAGCAACACAGAGGAAATGCATTATAAAACGCACACATGTGCATTTTTGTATTCTGTTATGAAGTACCATCTCTTTCTACCTGTAGATGAGAACAAGCGTGTCTCCCGGCTATGTGAGGTTCGGGACCGGGGTTCCTCCGTGTCAGGACTCCAAGTGTCTCGGTTTGGCCGCCTCTTCCCTCGGCCCGCTCCTCCGTGCCCTAAAACTTCAGGCCAGCCTCACGGAGCTGCGAATTTCTGGAAACCGTATGTCTGACGACCTTCTCCCTGAGCTGATTGCCACAACGCTCACCATGCCTCGTCTGCAGCTGCTGGACATTTCTGCCAACTGCATTACAGGGGACGGCCTGGAGAAGGCTGTAAATGCTTTAAAGGGACAGAGTGCACCTGCATTCCCGGTAAGGGCCTCAGCTAGCCAATAGTGGCAGCTCCAGGTTTACAATCTAACCTGTATTTAAGTACCTCTGGTCTTAATAACTACCTTAGATCTTAATAACAAGCTAACCTGATTCGTATCAATGATATCTGTCAGAGAGAATTGGCTCTCGTGATCATTTGCTTTTTCTGCTCGTTTCCACTCAAAGTGCCTGGAGGAGCTGGACCTCAGTATGAACCCACTGGGGGACGGCGTGTCTGAGTCTCTGTCCTGTCTGCTGTCCTGCTGCCCTGTGCTAGCCAAGCGGTCTCTGCAGGCCTGCGGCCTCACTGCTCGTTTCCTTCAGCAGCATCGACTGCTGCTAGCCAGCGCGCTCACAGGTGACTCTCTAACAAGCAGCTGACTGAAGCCTTAAGCTTCACTGAACTCCCACCCATAAGCAAAACTGCAACTAACTTTACATCTTCTGAACGTTCAGGCACAGGCCATTTGAAAGCAGTGTGCCTGTCCCTCAATCCCCTGGGCTCCACCGGCTTTGAGCTGGTGTTAAAGACTCTGCCCCTCCACTGCCTCCCACACGTGGACCTGTCAGCTGTCTGCAGAGGGCCTGCTGATTACCCGGCACTGGAACACCTCGCCAAAGTCCTGTCACAGGTGTGCACGCAAAAATCATACAATGTCATTTATTGTCGAAAGATATAATTGTGCAATCAGGTTAAGACTTTTGTGTTTTTGCAGGACGAGTGCTCTCTGACCCACCTCAGCCTGGCTGCAAATGGGCTGACAGACAGCAGTGTAGCTACCTTGGCGAGGTTTGTGTGTGCGGGCGTCATTTCTACGGCTCAGTTATTACTCATGTTAGTGGGGCTTTGCCTTTGTTTAAATTGTCACTCTTTACTGGCCTGTTGGACTTTTTCTTATTATTTCACAGGTGCCTCTCGTCGTGTCCCACACTGGTGAGTCTGAATCTGTCAGGAAATCCGTCTGTTACATCAGCGGGACTTCACAACATCCTGGCGTCTGAGAGAGAGGCCCGTCGACCACTGACACTTCTAAACCTCGAAGGTATGCTATGTGTGAACTTGGAGATACTCCATGGACATTGGAGTTTCACACTAATTCACAATTTGGATTTCTTTGATGTTTTTATCACCTGTGCAAAGTTGTACTTGGCAACAGTTTGTTTCTTGCTATCAGTCGTTTCCTTTTGACCATTTCTAAGTATGCACAGAGGTGTTACATGTGATACACACACAGACATTACAATATAGAAGTGTGGTTTAAAGATTAAAAAAAATAAATTAGCTGTGAATTAATTTTCCATTTTATGGAGCAGAAAACATTGCTGAATGCTAGCTAACAGGCTACATTTGGATGTCAAATATTTATAGGGGGGAAAATGGAAATTATGGATATGAAATAAAATGATTCTTTGTTGCTTAACCTGCAGGTTGTCAGGTCTCTGGCCCCTGGGAGAGTCAAGACCTGGACAGTTTGTCAGAGCTGGTCCAGGATATCCGTCTTTGCTCTCAGGCCCTCAACAAGCTGGACCGACAGACCTTGAAGCAGAGCTGGGACAGGACTCAGTCACACGGACACTTTCTCGACCGAAACTCCAAGTGCCTCCTCTCTGCCACCTCTACTTGAGGGTGGCAGGTGTGTTCATAATAAATAATTAATAATGAATTATTAATTTCATAATAATTCATAATAAAAGTGGTCATTTTTATAAACATTTTGTTTAATGAGGCTACACCAAAAAGAAACAAGATAAAAACAAAATAAAGTGACATGGCGTCCACCGACAGTCTGTGGATAGCTTGTGTTTTATGCATTTTTGTCTGCCTTATTTATACATGTAAAGCTCTGTATCTGTATAAAGAGTTTGTGTTAGTGTGTGAGAGGTTTTGTGTCACAATGGTCCTGTTTTGTAGGATTTGATTTAAAAAAACAAATAATTAAAGTAACACGATGCTATACGTTGACATCGTTCTTTCACTGTAAGACTCAGCAGGCTATGGTGAATAATCCAGCGATTTTCAGTCTCTGAAGAAATCTATCTAGAACATCCATACACATTCACACTCCGATCAATGCATAGGAGGTTAGTATCTTGCCCTTAATTTGGCATGCAGACTAGAGCAGCCTGGGATCGAACCACCGATCTTCTGGTTAGCGGTTAGATTTGGCCTTTATGGAACACCCAGTCAAATAAAAAGGTAAAAAAAAACATGTTTGATGAAATAAAATGGATTTCTTTAAACTGTTTCAAGTCAGCAAAACAGCAGGATGTGAGATTCTTGAGTGCACTTTTCATACAGTGAAGCACTGCTGTATTATTTGTGATCCAAAAATAATACAGGGCCCAATCTGTCAGGATCGGCAACAGGACTTCAGCCAGCATTATTACAAACGCAGGAGTTCCACAAGGTTGCGTCCTCAGTTCCATCCTCTAGACATCCTCTAGACTCTGTACACCCACGACTGTGTCCTGTGTTTGTGGACGACACTGCAGTGATCGGTCGCATCACTGGAGGGGATGAAGCGGCTAACAGGAGAGAGGTAGCCAGTCTGGTGTCATGGTGTGAGGACAACAACCTCACCTTCAACACTGACAAGACAAAGGAGATGATAGTGGACACGAGGAACAAGAGGAGGCCTCACCAACCGCTATTTATCCGGGGCCTTGAAGTGGAGAGGGTGAGCAGTTTTAGATACCATCTCTGAGGACCTCACCTGGACACTGAACACCACACAGCTGGTCAAGAAGGCTCAGTAGTGGCTGTATTTCCTGAGGAGGCTGAGGAAATTTGGTATGTCGGCCAAGATCCTCAGCAGGTTCTACAGCTGCATTGTGGAGAGCACACTGACCAGCTGCATCACTGCATGGTACGGCAGCACTACTGCTATGGACCGCAAACGCTTGCACAGAGTGATAAGAGTATTCATTTATTTATTTGTGCTATTTGTATTTTATTCTGTTCTATTTCTATTGTATATATTAATCGGCATCTGTGGGTGGACAGCAAAGAAAGAATATAATTGCACAGAGAAATGCTTTTTTTTCTTTGGACACATGACAATAAACACTTAGAATCTTGAATCCTGAATCTTTGAAACTCTATAACAGCTCCATGTCAGATAATAAAGTCTCTGCAAATAACAAAAATGAGGTACATGTACCTTTTTCCACACAGCAGCTAAAGCTTTGTGCAGGCCGTAGGGTCGTAGAACCTGCAGACCCTCGCAGGTGTTGTACATCTGCCGACAAACTAAAATAAATGCTCCACATAATGAATGGGGCATATCAGATTCACACAATGATGGCAATTCCTTGTCGAGCAGCCTCTGGGTGAACTGTACGATGATATGAGCAGCAAAGGTTCTGCAGACAAGGGTGAAAAAAGACAAAGATGTTTATTATAGATCCACAGCATGAGAATTTTAGATTGTATTTATAGCAATCTCAATTTGTGGCTTTAAATGCCTACACTGGAGGTTTTTAATAAGACCTGAAACTAGCAACTAATAAAACGAATAAAGTCGTTGTTTAAAGTGTTTGCTGAGGCAATGGAACAACTCAGCAGTGTACACATCTGACTTACTCTTGAAACTGGCACCTCAGCACTGGGTTAACTTTTCAGAACCAAGGCTACATCTACATCAATTCCTTGAGCAACAAAAATTATTTGGGGTCTCCAAAGCACTTTCATACACTCACATTTTTAATGAGCAAGCATACATACAGAAGTGAAGCCATAGGTGGTTGGTAAATACATTCTTGGTCATTCACATCAATAGAATGTGTTTCTGGACAGACTGAAGGAAACTAAAGCGCAGACTAGTCATTGTCAGGCAACAGAATATAATGTAGTATAATATAACCCCAGCTATTCACAAACCAGCAGCACCCTCATGTTCTGCTCTCGGTGCAGAATAAGCAGGATTTGCTATGCAAATTTAACTCTGTACTAAAATCTTCCAGCTAAGTTAGGAAAATGTAATTTATTCATTACTATCAAGAAAGACAAAACGACGCTGCGAATTTAATCACAACATCTCACCTCTCACTGTGGGCTGCGACGAGATTCTTCTCAAATAAGAAGAGCGCTAATCCTCTGTCTGTGTTTGCAATACGAGCCAGAATATCTGCAATGAGACTCAGGGTTGCTGCAGGAGACTTTAACTCAGCCTGCAAAGCACAGAAAATAAACACACAAAATTCCCAAGTGCTTCAGGAAAATTGGCACCTGCACAGATACTCAACACTGAAATAACACTTTTATCTTTCACAATAATGGAACTGAAGAAAAAACTACCGGTACTACATTTCATAACCAAAGCCTCTGTAATTCCATTTTCTGGAAGGCTGAACGATGACAAGTCCTTACGCAGAGGACAGCTATGTTACTCTTAAGATGAGGAGTCTACATTTGAAAATTGTATGTTTTGATGAATTTTTAAAAATTATTGCACTAAAAATGTAAAAGGAAAGTAGTTTACATGCCGTTTAAGCACCGGCACCGTTTCAAAAGTACCGGTTTGGTACTGGTATTGGATAAAACCTAAACGATACCCATCCCTATTTAGCAAACATGTGCTGGGCCTGACTGTTGTGTGTGTGATGTGATCAGTATGCTGCTGATTTGCATAAGCAAAAATGATGTAAATAGAAAACGCTGCTCCTAATGAATAAAAAACAGGAAATACAAGAAACTATGTGGTCTCTGAGTAGTATACTTAACAGCCACGGTGTGACTGATCCTGCACAGGTCCTTCATCCCGACAGCAGTCAGGCTGTACCACACCCAGACA